ATATATATATATATATATATATATATATATATATATTTCCAAGGTTACTGAATCCAGTCCATATCTAGATCAGATGGTGGATCAGCACCTAGTGATAATCCCAACAGCCCTGAATGTCAGTGGAGACCACAACAACTAGACAAGCCATGGAGACAGATCCCCTGCGAAGACCTCACCGACTACATAGCCATCGGCACAGATGCTCAGCAAAGACCATGAGAACCAAACCAGTCCTCTGCACAGACCCTGTGGCCAGCTTCGACTACTTCACCATGTGATGTACCACAATAATCAAAGAGAAGAACTGGAGGAATTTTCTGAATGATATAAATCCAGTCTGACTTGTGTTGCAGCCTGGACTTAAACCACACCATGCTGGTTTCGTCTGGCCAGAGGAGAACTGTTGCCCCGACTGAGCCTGGTTTCTCCCAAGGTTTTTTTCTCTATTTCGGTCACCAGTTCTACAGTTCCTTGTCACTCTCGCCTCTGGCTGTTGTTAACTTTTAGGCGTATTCACTGATGCTTCTGAAGTTGCAACATTTACCATTCAAATTGTATAGATTAGAACTGTATTGTTTCGTATGATACACGGTTTTTACAGGGAGAGGTTGTGTATGATGTGGTCTACCACAATTGCATAACTATATTCAGTCTTGCAGGGAAAAAAAAGAAGATAAAATCATTGCCTTTGTGCAATGTGTGTGTAAAGTGAAGGTTGTGAAAGTACAAAAAATAAAAAATAAGGGTTCACACAATGATGCTGAAGAAATTCAGACAACAGTGCTAATCGCATTAATGCTGCATTAATATAGCCATAGGTTTATGGAATAAGTGCATTTAGACAATAACCAATTGGTAAAGTCATTGTGTTACTGCAGCTGCCACCTTCAGAAATAGTAAGTGAAGAAGAAAGGACACCCTATTGAAGTCCATGGTTTTCTGTATCTGTTTAAAAAAATAATAATAATCTGGTCCTTGGCAGGTCTAAAATTTGGAAAATAAAACCTCAGATGAACAACTACACATTACATATCACACCATGTTATTATTAATTTAACAAAAACTAGGCCAAAATGGAAAAGCCATAGGTGACAAACTAAGGACACCCTATGATTTCATTGCTTATAGATCCACTTATAGCAGCAAAAAGTTGAAGTAATAACTTTCAGTATGAATTTATAAGTCCCTCACATCGTTCTGGAGGAATTTTGGCCCACTCTTCTTTACAGCGTTGCTCCAGTTTATTGAGGTTTGTGGGCATTGGTGATAAGGCTCATTTAGGCTGCTCATTTGGTTGAATTCAAACTGAAATCAAGATATGGCTTAACGAAATCATGAAATCATGACATGGCTTAATGCAACTATTAAAAAACAAAAACCCTCTGAGCTACAATCTGAATTCATGAAGATAAGCAAGACTTACATCTTGTTTATCTTTTATTTGCTTTATGCAAATGGTTTACAACATTTGCAAAGTTTGGCTCCATCCATGTTATGTGTAATTTAGTTTTACACATAAAAGAACACTAAAAAACAGCAGGGTTTCCCTGCTTCAACATGAACTGTAGTAGTAGGGTAACCTACACACTAAAAATTCTGGGGTAAAACAACCATTTCTGGGATATTTGGCAACCCAGCGCTGGGTAAATATTGGACAGAACACATGCTTATATAAAATATTGATGCCGCCCTCTTTATTTTACTAACTTACTGCATGCTGAAGGTGACCCAGCTGAACTCACCAGAAAAAAAAACTCAACACCACCATCTAGTGGATTGTAAATAAATTGATTTTATTATTCTACCAAATAGTATAATAAAAGATCGATACTTGGCGTCCGTGTATCGATACAGTATTGCCGCAGAGAATATTGTGATACTATGCTGTATCGATTTTTTCCCTCACCCCTAATTGAAACCAAATCAATTATTTAATCAATTTAAATCAATTGATTAAAATCAATTTTATAAAGACGATGTGCTAGTTATATAAATTATTCCCCTTTGTTAGGGGATTATTATCCCCCCAAAAATAATAATAATAATCATAAAATAATAACTCCCACTCCCCATACTGTTTTATACTATTCTTTTCCTTTCTGCAAATGTAGAGAGGATTTGCTTTTGGACAGTTATGATGTGTTCTTCTTCGTGTTTAACCAGAAGCCCCGTCATCTCAGACAAATATTGTAGGAGGACATAAAGGCAAGTTAGGATCAGTGCTAGGACACTAATCTTGTAGTGTTTTAACTTTCCCTTTAAAACACAATTAAGTAGACTAGATTTCCATGAAATAGTTTCAAGTTAGGTGCACATCCCAATAAATGCTTCAGATCAATTATTTGTTAATAAAGCATCTATGTTCCCAAACCACTGATAATTTTAATAGAAAAGCAAGCATACTGTAAGCATGATTTGACATGGTAGTTAATGCAATAAACATTGCCTTACATAATGCAGAACAATCCAGAATTTCGACCAGGCCCAGTTCCAGAATCATATCATTGAGGGTGCTTCTGAAATTTGTGAGGGTATTTTTATCTTGGTTTATTTCATTCGAATCTAGCCTTGAGGTCATGAACACATTAATTAACATTTCTGCATTTGACATTGAGAGAATATGTCGTGATTTAGAGATATATTTTTTTTAAGATGGAAAAAATGCAGTTTCACAAATGCTAGACGTGTGGCTTTCAAAATAAAGATTGTTATCAGATAGCAAACCTAGGTTCCTAACAATAACTTGACAGAGCAGCTATCAAATTTTAGAGAGTATTCTATGTTATTATGTGTGGAGGTTTTTGGTCCAACTATTAACAACTCTGCATTCTGTTAGTTTTGTGAACTGGTATGTTTCATCAGGCTGTGAAGAAATATAGAGCTGAGTATCATCAGCATAAAGTGAAAGCTAACACCATGTTTCCTGATGATATCTCCCAGGAGTAACATGTACAGGGTGTAAAGCAATGGTCCTAGTACTGAGCCTTGTGGTACTCCTTACTGAACTTGTGATTGATATGATACCTCTTAATTTACCATTACAAACTAATGACGGCCCTATATGCTAATGCAATTCCACTAATGCCAACATAATTTGAGGTTTATTTTTATTTATTTATTTATTTAGTCATTTAGCAGACGCTTTTATCCAAAGCGATTTACAAATGAGGACAATAAAAGCAGTCAAAACTAACAAAAGAGCAACAATATATAAGTGCAAATGACAAGTCTCGGTTAGCCTAACACAGTACACGTAGCAAGGTGTATATATATATATATATATATATATACATACACATACATATATACATACACATACATATATACATACACATACATATATACATATATACATACACATATACATATATACATATATATACACATATACATATATACATACATATGTACATATACATATATACATACATATATACATATACATATATACATACATACATATATACATATATACATATACACACACACACATATACACATACATATATATATATATATACATACATATATATAT